ACTACTGTGAAATCAAAAACTCGACGGTTTCTGGCGGTACGGTACAGTGCAGCGTAGTGAAGTCTGCGCCGCGATCGTTACGCCATGGATGAGCAGTCAAAGCTCGTGCGCGCGACTCAAAGCTCCGATACACGCACACACCCACATATATTCAGCTACAGAGATACACAGTATATCTCCACGAATGGTATTGAAATAGACGCGCGACCGAAGAATCGTTCGCCAAACTCCAGCACTGTACTTTGCACTGTAAGCCCGCACGTGTATATATAGAAAAAGAAGAGGATATACTTTGACGCTGCGCACTCGGGGGCCTCCGGAGCTTCGAGCGGTAGCAGTGTTGGTGGCGAAAAAAATACAGGTAAAAACAACACAAAGTGGGAAATGAGCTTGCGCCAAAAAAAAAACAACATCCACGAGGAAAGCTCGATTCTTCTTGCGATGCGATCGTGATCGAGCTTTTATCTGTATAGATCGAGGATCCGATGTACAACGGTGGAAGCACATATTACACGGCGCATGGCTTTCAAAGCTATAGAGAAGTGCACTCGATCGAGTGCAAGAGAGCCAAACGCGCGACACAATTTCGACGGTACTGCTGCTGCGCGGGCGATTGGCGATAATAACGAGTTGGCTTCATCGATTTTACCCACACAGCAGTGGCTAGAAGTACACATAGAGCTCTCCGTAATTGCATGAATAAATAAGCACGGCTGCTGCTGCTAGGACAGCTTCTCATTGTGTATATAATCGGACGCGAAAGTGCAGCTGCTGAATGTGTGTGTGTGTGTATATATACAGCACAACGATGCGACACGATATTTTACGAATCGTGCGACATCTAATAGTAATTTCTCTCTCTATTATTGTACGCTAGAGCTTGCGATGTTGTTCGTCGTCGTCGTCGTTGTTGTTGTCAGCTTGCTGCTGTTCCTGCCTACGACGACGACGACGATGACTTTACGCTCGAAGAATCAAGAAGTCGCACGATGATAATTATTCGTTTTCTGAAATTATTCTCACCGAGTTAATTATTCATCAATTTACGCGCTGGTACATATATACGTATATAGTCGCGAGCTTGCACGACTCGAGCCAGCAATAATATTATAACACGAAGAGAGCAGCAGCAGCAGAAGCAGAGAGCAGCAACGATATACGATGTATAACACGCAGAGACACATCGCAGCCCAGGAATATTCAGGATGATAAATGCAATTTGCGCGACGTGTTATCTTTACATCCGCGGGTATATAGTTATATACGTAAGTTGTATAAGCTTGGGCTAGTGTGCTGCAAGACCGGCACACACCTCTACCGCCGCCGCTGCTGCTGCTGCTGTTGAATGAAATTTACGCGCTTATCTTGGCGAGTGCCTTAGCAGAGTTAACGCGATATATACGTACATACAGAGATTATTATTATATATACGTATACAATAATGAGCTTTATGTCAAAGCTTAATACGTGCACACACGTCGCGCCGTATCTATATATAAATAAGAGAAGTAAAAGTCCGACTTGGTTTTTTTTTCTATACGCGCCCAGCGATATATAAAGCGATATATATTATACCTTAGAAGTATACGCACACGGGTCAGCCAGCCCATGTCTCGAGAAAAGCTCGGAAGCTCGAGCTTTACCAGAAGACGACGACGACGACGACGACGACCAGAGAAATAATATATAGTATATGTACTGCGTGTGTGCATGTGTGAGCAATAAGCGAGCATTCAATCAGCGCGTGCAATCCATTGGGATCGTTCCGGAAAGAGCAGAAAAAAAAATCCACACACATATACACACGTATACGTGTGGTGTGGCTATTGCAGGCTCCTTCTTCGACGAATAACGCACAGACGTGTATGTAACAAAGACCTCTACGGCAAATACGACCCTCTGCACGCTGTAGTGTTTGCGCGCGCGACGTTTGTTATATACGTGCGCGGGTGTATGTAAGCATTGCCGAGTAATAAAAGCCTCGTAAATCAGGCCATGCCGGTATACGTATACGTACGTACACAACACACACACGTCGTAGTCTAGGAGTCCGTCCGTTCGAGCGAAAATTGCCGTCTCTCTCTATACGTATATAATAATATCATCTGTGCGCGCTTTCGTGAAAACGTATTCAACTACGACTGGTTGCTGTTCTGTATCATTATTATTATATATAACACAGCAGCCGGAGCTTCTTAACGCAAGCTCGCGCGCCTATTTACGATATATAACGCTCATTCGTATACATGTGATGCGCGTGTGCGGTACATGTAGTTACGTCACTCGAGCGAAATTGCCGATGAACGACTACTGCTGCTGCTGCTATGCGACAGGGTGTATTATACAACGGAGTAGCAGTGGGACAAAAAGCCGAAGGCAGGAGCAGGTGTCTATCGCGCTTTTCGATCACTTAAACGGCACACTCGGAAAATTGTCCTTGGAGCTCCTCGCTCTTTCTCTTCGAGTTATATATAGGAAACGACTCGAGACGCAGATGTCTATCGGGGCCCCATATAAATACTCTATATATACGTTACGCCCATCCCTGCGTTAGCTCGTTCATTGTCTGTCGTATACAGCGCAGCATATATATAAAATCAAGGGTGTAAATAAAATATACACATCACGCTGGATATGCGCAGTGTTATGTTCTCGAATTCGCGCGCGCTAACGGTATAGCGAACGCGCGGAAAAAAGCAGAGAGAGAAAGGAGAATCCAACGCGACGGTGACGAGGAAAAAAAATTGCATCAAATATTTACTCAACTTCTTTAAGTTTCGCACACACGCCCATCCCTAGTCGAGAGGGACATACACTACCTAAAGCTCCGTCGTCGTCGGAGGCAGTCAGTAAGTATAGATATAGTCCGTAAGTACGTATATATATAGCGCGGGAGTCCCAAGGATGCGCCCGGCAAAAGGTCGTCGCCGAGCGTCGAACATCGGAAACAGCGGAATCAGTTAGAGTTCAAACTCGTGTTACGGTACGTAAGAGAGAGAGAGAGAGAAAAAAGAAAGAAAGGAGGGAAAGAGGCGGACTGCTCTGGGTATAGAGTAGTACCCAGCGATCGACACAAAGCGCTCGAGACAGAGGAGAACGAAGAAGAAGAAAATTCCGTACGACTTGCTGTATACGTAAAAGAAAATTCACTTTTTATCTCGTTGCTGCTGCCGCTGCTGCTGCTGCGGGAAGAGTTTGTTCGAATAATTTCCGAAGACTCGAGAGACAGAGGAAGAAAGAAAGAGAGAGAGCTTGTATTTTAGCTTTGCGATGCTGCTGCCGCTGCAAGTTCGCTCTCTCATACCCCCTGAGGACGTAGTAGCAGCAGTCGACTGCAGTCCGAACCGATCGCGCGTGCACGCGAGTTCGAAGGAAAAAAAATTCTTTTTTCTTCTAAAACTATAGCGAACGAAATGTCCAAGTATATATGTAGGCAGTGATTACCAAGTCTCGATATATGCAGACTCCGAACGGTATATGGCGTTTTATCAAGACGGTATTATATATAATATGGACCGAGACCGCGGCCGCGTCCCACGGCGCGCGCCAATATCCTTTTGAGTCGCATATATAGGCACTGTACTCCACCTTACATTATGCATTACACCGCGCGCGACTTCGCCATGGTGCATAATATACATCTATATCTATATATGCATTACCTACTGCGTCTAAGCGAATTAACGATTCCCTTTGTCGAAGAGCTCGATTTAGCCCAAAGAGAGTGAGAGAGAGAGAGAGAGGAACTATATACGTACGCACGCGCCTTTGAGCGAGCTGCGGTGTAAGCTCGTGTAATATATTCGCCTACTGCGCAGCGAGGAGAAGAGAATTTAACTGCAATATTTAACGAGACACTCGATATCGCGTAGCAGCAGCGGCGGCGAAAAAGTTTTTTCGAACGCATAATGAACGTATATATAACCCGCGGTCAAAATGTGTTTCATCTACTTTTTTTTTCTCTTTTTGTTTCTCCCGCTTTTCGGGAAAATCTCAGGCTGCTGAGATTTCATGCAATAATTTTCTCGTATTGCAGCGGTAATTTCGTACATTCGTGTATTTTGATAACGAGAGCTCGTTGGCGTGTAATATCGCATGAACTCGTCCCGTAATGAAGCTAATTTGCGGTTCAGATGTGTGTACTCCTTATTATATTTCAACGGCTGCGACGATCGGTGCGCGATCGTTTCAAAGTTTTCTCTTTCGTGAACACGTAGTATGAATAGCCATTGAAAAAATATCTTTAAATTCGAGGCTAAAATCGCAATTAAAATGTTTGTCACTCGACGCGAGTAATGGACGTTGATAATTGCTCATCGACGTCCCAGGAACGTAGGAGAGCGCACGAGCAATGGGAATTTTGATAGGTATTTTTCCTACAGTTATTTTTTTCGTTACAGTGGAAGAAAAATTACGTGACAATACCAAACTTTACGAAACTGTTGAGTCATCAAAAAGCTATAAGCAATATAACTATCAAAATTTCCTTAGTTCAACAATTATCAATGTCCAGTACATGCGGCCATCGACAAAAATTTCAATCGCTATTTTAACTTCAAATTTTTAATCTAGATATACCAGAGAGTCTTTTGGGACATATTTTTCGCGAAATTTACTGGTAAAGCGTACATACACAGAACATAGCGAAACGCGCTCACAATAATTGCGTTTGGAAGGAGTCCACGGTAGAGGGGGAAAGTTTTGCCAGGGAGCCATTACAGTCCGCCAGATCATCAATATACGTCTGATGTGTTCACTCTTTAGTGCGAAATTATTTTCCACGGCGAGCAATTGGCGATTATAAATTATTTCCGTAAAAAGATTCTATACTTGAAATCGAGCGACCGTATCAACTATTCGAGGCGTTGTCTCAAATATTTTCTCATTTTTCTCTGTACCTAAAATTGACGTACGTACGCGAGACATATAACCTCAAATGTAATCTCAGTGCAGTGCGCACATCGTGAAAATTCCAGTGAACATACATAATTAAGGAACTGATGGATAACAAAAGTGACATAATCAGGTAAACATTTTTCGTACGCTATATACTAGCATAATTATTTTTCAAGCCATCTCATATTCAATCGAATTATTCTTCAGGGTGAAGGAAGAGCCAAACGATACTTGGATGAATACCAGTGACGGTTACGTTTTCAGTTCGGTGGACTGTTGCAAAGCCGAAAACTCTGAAACAGTGCCGTTTCGTAAATCATCGGTGAATTTAAAGATTTATTATTTTATTTTGTCGATCCACTATTAGAAACTAATCCATAATTTTCATTTCAGGCAAAACATGTCAATGAGGCTGCGACGTTTCAAGAGAGGTTAAATGAAAAAATAATCATAGATATTGAGTGCAGAGATGTTAAACCTGAAATACCTTATTTATCGAAAACCGCCTGCAAATTGGAGTATCAAAGTCATCATCCTTATGTGGAAAAAGAAAATGCGGATCCGACGAATTATACGAGTGAGAAAAGATTAATTATTTTGATAAAAAAAGGATTTAACTACGATAACAACTGTCAAATGAATATGAAAATTCCCGTAAAACTGGTCGAATATAAAAAGCAAAAAAGTTTTGAGGAAATTGTTGAAAAAAATTCATCGTGTCAAACGAAAATAAGTCGAAAAACTTATATATCAAGAGCAAGTATTAAAAATCATTCGTTAGGGATACTTCGAAGTAATAGACAGTACCTCTTCGAATGTGAATTGTGCCATAAATTATTTAGACACAAAGGCCATCTAAATGTGCACATAAATACAGTCCATTATCGTAGCAAACCTTACGACTGTGATATTTGTCATAAATCATTTGGGCTCAAAAGTCATCTTAATACTCACATAAATACAGTTCATGCTCCTATGAAACTCTTTGAATGTGAGATTTGTCACAAATTATTTGGAGCAAGAGGTAACCTCAACATTCACATAAATACAGTACATAATCGCAGCAAACCGTTCGAATGTAGTATTTGTCATAAATCATTTGGACGAAAAGATTATCTCAAAACTCATTTATACACAGTACACGGTCATAAGAAACCCTTTGACTGTGAGATTTGTTGCAAATCATTTGGATACAAAAGTCACCTTAAATCTCATGTAATGACTGTACATGACCGGATTAAACCCTTCGAGTGTGATATTTGTTACAAATCATTTGGACGAAAAACTCACCTTAAACCTCACATAAATGCAGTACATAACGGGAATAAACCCTTCGAGTGTGATATTTGTCATAAATCGTTTGCAGAAAAGAGTAATATCAGAAAACATATAAATAGAGTACATATCCGTAGCAAACCCTTCGAATGTGAGATTTGTCAAAAATCATTTGGACGAAAGAGCAATCTCATAACTCACATAACTGAAGTACATAATCGTAGCAAACCCTTCGAATGTAACATTTGTAATAAATCATTTGGAAACAAAAGTCATCTTAATGCTCACATAAATACAGTTCATGCTCGTATGAAACCCTTCGAATGTACCATTTGTCACAAAACATTTGGACAAAAACATCACCTCAAAGATCACGTCTACGCAGTACATGATCGGAGCAAACCCTTTGAATGTACTATTTGTCACAAATCATTCGGACACAAAAGTACTCTCAAATCTCACATAAATGCAGTACATAATCGTAGAAAACCCTTTACATGTGATATTTGACATAAATCACTTACACTAAAAACGCATCTCAAAGTTCACATTAATATAGTACATGATGGTAGAAACTCTTCGAATGTACCATTTGTCACAAAACATTTGGAAAAAAAGGTAACCTCAAATCTCACATGAATGCGGTACATGATCGGAGCAAACCCTTTGAATGTACTATTTGTCACAAAACATTTGGATACAAAAGTTTAATAGAAAATCACATAAATGCAGTACATGCTCACGTAAAACCCTTCTAATGTGAGATTCAGCACAAGTCATCCGGTCAAAGGATTCTTTAAAAGCTTATAAAGATAAATCACATGATTTTATCAAATAACTTGATGAGTAAGATGTACCGCGTGACATAGACATGATATGCTTGCATTCATATGAGAATTGTAATGGATGAAATCTTTTGATATTTATAAATATTCCATAATTTTGTGTATTTTATTTCTTCGGAGCTTTTTATGTATTTATAAACTTTATTATGATAGCGTAAAGCTTTCTCTCACCGATTGTACTATACATAAACTAATAAATTCAATAAAATAGCTTTTGTCCATAATCTTTTTAGACATTTGGATTTTTTTTAATTTCTGATCCAAATCCCAAACTGGTCCGAAAAGTAATAAAAAAAATGCACGTGTATTTTTTTACGACTTTGAAGTATTTCAAATCTAAAAAACGTTCGTTCATTGATGCGTGTCGATTGAGAAGCAATCAAATTATCAATAGCTCGACATTCACTCGAAAGTATAATATTTACATGTAATTTTTCGTACACTAACAATAACTCTGAATAAGTAGTCATATGTTATACAAAAAAAACTTCTAGACATAATATAGTTATCAAATTTCCATTGATCACTCGTTCACCAATAACCCTGAAATCTTCAATCTCAAACAATCATATAGAAGCAGCAAGCGACAAAAATTTCAATCGAATTCCAAGTATCTTTCGCAGTTTCGCTCATATACGAAACGCGAAGTTCTACCAATGCCCTCTCGTAAAAACCGACTCGACCCTCTGCACGCTCGCGTGTAATCTCGAGTCGCGCCGTCCGCTCGATATACGTATAAACTTTACCTCTCATTATCGAAGATTATTTTGATTACGGTCGTGAGTGTTTTTTTTCGTCCTCCTTACCTTTACGCATCTTCCCGATACAAGAGGAAGAAAAATCCCACCGCGAGAGCGCGCAATAATACTTATCGAGGCATTGAAAATTAATTAGGTTTCCGAAATTGTAAAGTAAGGTAAGTTAAAGTACGCACGCGCATATAAAAATCCCCTCTTCTCTCCGCGCGTATATTACACGATAAGACGAGAGCCGAAGCGCATACAATTATGATAGTACGCGAATCGAGCGAAACGTCAGATTCGAGGCTCTCACTCTGGTGAAACAGCACAGAGAGAAAGAGAAGGTTTTATACCGCGCGCGTCTGCGAGTACATAATTAAAACTGCCTTTGCACGCGCTCGCAGTCGTCGTCGTCGTCGTCGACGGCAGCTGTAATATTATAACCCCGTAGCCCAACGATGCGCATTCCTGTACGATTGTGCATGCACCACATCAGGCCGCAGTGCTGCTGCATGCGAATAGACGCGCGTGTTTAATTTTATATATTCCGCAGCAGCAGCAGCAGCAGCAGCAGCAGCAGCAGCGGTGGTGGTGGTATAATCTCGTCGGAGCTGGAAAACGTCTTTGTCGTCGTCATTGAGCGGGCTCCATGTGTGCCGAGTATATTTCCGTACAACGACGACGACGACGACGACTTAGAGACGCAAATCGGCGCGAGGGTTCGATGCCAGAGCTATTTTCCCGCTCGCCCAATCCGTTCCGTGTGTACATGCGCATAAAAGTCGGTACGCGCGCACCCACGCGGTATATAATAGCCGCGCGTGAATATAAACAAGAGCTTTATACGTACAGAAATGCATTCTCTCTCTCTCTCCCCTCGCTCGCCCGGTCGTCCCGTTGCCGGAGAATTTCGAATTCGCGCGCAATGGTGCGCGCGGTCCCGATGAATTTCTAATTAAATGCAGATCATGCGGGGTCTCGTTCCTTTTTGTTTTGCGTATAATTGAGAAATAATTGCGTATACATATTCACGATGCGAATATATCCTCGCGGGCGGAAAAATTCTCGTTCGCGAGTTATCATATACAGCACGGCAGCAATAAAATGTGAAATGTTATTTATACACCGAGAGACGAATGAATTGGGAAAAGGGTGTATGTTTGTACACTATCCACACGTGAAAACTGTGTATAACGCGAGTTTTGAGGATTTGTCAACGCGTCCCACGCGCGTTATATACAGCAGAGCCATTAGACGCGTTAGTCGCAGGCGAGGTCACCCCATCGCGCGCGCGCGGGGGGACTAATTTAAACGAATGCGCCGCAACTCCCGGAGTTGTGCTCGCGCTTAATTTCGATTAGTAACTTTGACTCTTACTTGCCGCAATATTCCCATTCATTAAAAAGCTCATCATCGTCATTCGCGCGTGTGTAGAGGGGCTCTTTTAGCGTGTATATACCTCTCGACGCTTTGATATTGGGTTCGCGCGCGCGCGCGCATATTATTTTGCCTAGGTCACAAAACATACAGAGAGAGAGAGAGAGAGAGATGCACACGAAATACGATGGGAAAATATAAAAGGAAGAAGTCTCTACTGCTTATTAAGTGCAAAGTTTGCCAACTCGTTTATTGTACCACATATATAGATTTGGAAAATAAATAATACGATCCACTAAAAGTTTTCTTATTAAGCTTCATTTAGCCTTCGACTTTCGATTGAATGAATCCGCAGGCAGGCAGCAGCAACCCGGCCGTTAATTTCAAGCTTTCTTCGTATTTACCTCGTGCGCGCATAGCAGCTAATGTTATTTGACTGTTCAATTCGAGTTTGACTGCGCTCGCTCTAGCTCGCACACTTCCCTTTTACTTATACTATATATACTGTTACTCGCGCGAGAAGAAAACTCGAGAGCTTCGCCGCAGCGCACCTTACCTAGTAGCTATCTCGCGCGTCGGCAAGCAAACTTGGCTTTTCCTCGATTGATTTTCAACATTTTACCAGCTCTCGCTCGTCTACGCCGCGTGTGGTTTTATAGGCAGCTGCAGCAGCAGCAGCACACGTACGCATACATATACACACACAAGAGAGAGAGCTGCAATTTCCAGCCTCGCGCGCGATAAGACATTTTTATTTGGTTTCGCGCTCGCGATCGAAAGCGATTGATTAAAGGCGAAAGAATGGGCTGCTGCTGCCTTTTTTTTTATATGCCTCGGTTTTATATCGTGTCGGTGTGTGCGCGTGTATAGAAATCGTTGATTCTTGCTCCAGAGCCGCGAGCTCGCCATTTCTTCGATAAGATTTTCCACGTATTTTTTAACCGCACTCAGGTAAGAAAAGCTCGCTCGCCGAAGAGGTACGAGCGAAATGAAATTGACTCGTACACGTATAGTTGGCTGCGCTGGGTTTTCGAAGCCCAGCCGCGCGTAGCAGCATAGGCCCTTTTGCTGCTTACACTGCCCTGCGGTATTTCAACAAAGTTCACACAATATATATATGATATGGAAATTCCGTCGGAGCCGCAGCAGCTGTGAAACTTCTATGTACGCGCTTTGGGTACGAAAATCGACTATGAAGTTGACCGAATTTTTTGGTCAATATATACCGAATCGAAAGATAATCTAATAACGAAGGTGCGTGCAACATTTCAAGTTGGAGACTCAAACGGTTCAAAAGTTATATATATGAACAATTATGAGTATCCAAAAGCGTGGTTTTGAACAGGAGTCGATGAGAATATATCGATGGTGTCTACGAAGAAAATCGCCTTTTTAAAACAGTAGCATTTTAATTTTTCAATATAAGAATCAGCCCGCCTTTTTAGATCTAGTGATTACAAGTTTTTGGAAAAGTTTGAATTACTAATCGAATGAGTGGTTTTTTTCGGCGCATTTTGAAAAAAAGAGAATTTCTTCGCTACAGGAATTTGTCTGCATTTAAAAAAGAGATAGTCTTCGTAAGCACCGGGGATATAGAAGAGGATTATGGTTCTTGTGATTATCGATGGAAAAAATTCAATTCAATTTTAAATATTTTAATTTATTGATGAAGCATGATTATCGTCACGAGCTTCGACCCGCAGCCGCCAGACAAATATTATACAAATCCTTGTTCCTCAGAGTACTGATGATCATTTCACAGCACTCGGTTGGCAGTCGGTAATGTATCAATTCCATGAAAGGATCCAGCGTCCAGTCGCGCAAAAATTTCGTCAACACTTCGTCGCACAGGCGCAAACAACAATCCTTCATAAACTGGGGGGGAACCCAATTTCTTAAATTGTGCAACTCCATGTAGAAGTCCACGTACATGTCGCATAATGCTATCTCTTCGAATAATGTATCGAACAAATCATCGACATCCTCACTCGTCGAATAATCCATATCATCGTACAATCCGTACTTGTCGAAGAAGCCCATGAGCTTCAAGGCTGCATCTCGATCCCGTCTGTAGCCTCTCATCTCGAGCAGCTCGACGATGATCAGTAGATGGATCGCCGTTTCTAGTTTATTCCGGGCTGATTGACTTTCATCTGGATGTTTATAGGCATCTCCGTACCTGTCGGAGTCGCACGGGGTCGGAAAAACGAAGCCGGACACGTCGGCCTCTCGTTCCAGAAGTAGTGTCTCGACGTTGAGCGAACAGCCGCTCGCCACGGCCCACTCCAGCGCTGTTCGGCCCGAATTGTCCCGGGCGTCGATATCCACCGGCAGCCTTTCCTCGTCTACATAATAGAAGAGCTCATCGAGCCACCACTCATTTCTAGCCATGAGATGCAGAGGCGTCATTCCTTCCTCGTTGGCCAGACTCGGATCGGCGCGACGTCTCAGCAGCGACTGGACCATGTCGTCGCTTCGGCACAGAGTAGCCAAGTGCAGCGGCGTGTTGCCCTCGTTGTCTCGGGTATCGATCCGCAGCGTCTTCTCCTTCTCGTCGCAGTCCTCGAACAATAGCTGCAACAA